ATTCAGAATGCTAAATAAAAACCACTATCAACCAAAAACATTTTACCTAGTAAACTATTCTTCATAAATGAAGGAGAAATAAAGACATTCCCAGAAAAACAGAAACAGAGGAAATTTATTGCTCTCAGATCTGTCCCACAAAAAATGCTACAGGGAGTGCTACAAACCAAAGAAAGATGATGGTACCATGATTGTTATTCAAATACTGCCATCATAGATAACTTATGATTCTGGAAACACATATCTTTAGTATAAAACCATAAGACAAACTATCAAAATTAATAACTATAATAATTCATTAAGAGACAGACAATATAAAAATGTAAATTATGACAAAAATTTTAAATTTGGAATGAAAATGTTAAAATATACAGCTTTTTAAATTCTTTTTCTTCTTTACAATAAAAGTTAAGTTGTTATCAATTTAAAATAACTTGATATAACTGTAGGCTGGCATTTGTAAGCCCCACAGTAACCACAAAGCAAAAACCTACAAAAGATACACTAAAAATAAAAAAGCAAGGAATCAAGAGAAAATCATCTAATCACAAAAGACTGTAAAAGAGGAAAAAAAGAACCTACAAAACAACTGGAAAACAAATAACAAACTAGCAGAGATTAGGGTTTGCCTATCAATAATTCCCTTGAATGTAAATTGGCTTTACATTCAAAGTAAACCTCTAATTAACAGAGCTAGAAGATGTTTTAGTTTGTTTGCCTTGCTATAAAGCAATTTCTGAGGATAAGTAGTTTATTAAGAAAAGAGGATTATTTCGCTCACCATTCTGCAGCCCATACAAGAAGTATCTCCTTCTGATGAGGGTCTCACAGTGCTTCCACTTATGGCAGAAGGCAAATTGGAGTTAGCATGTGCAGACATCACATGGTAAGAGCAAAGTGAGAAAAAAGGGAGATACCAGGCTCTTTTTAACAATGTGCAGTCATGGAAATTAACAGAATGAGAACTCAAACACACCCCAATGCCAGGGAAGGCATTTCATGAGAAATTCACCTCCCTAACCCAAACACCTCCCAGTATGCTCCACCTCCAACATTAGGGAACAAATTTCAACACGATTTTGGAGGGTCGAGTATCCAAACTGTAGCAGAGGGGTTGAACAGAGAAGAAAACAATACTCAGTTATATGCTGTCCCTAAGAGACTTCACTTCACATGTAAGGATACATAGATTGAAAGTGAAGAAATAGAAAAAAAGATATACTATGCAAATGAAAACCATAAGAAAGCAGGAGTAGCTACACTTGTACCAGAAAAAAAGAGATTTAAGCAAAAACTGTGAAAAGGAACAATGAAAGCCATAATAAAGGGGTCAATACATCAAGAGGATATAACACTTATATATTCACTCAACATAAAAATGTTTTCTTATATTGAAGAATAAATATAAAAGCAAATGTTAGTAGACCTAAAAAGAGAGAAAGACTGTAATACTGTAATTATAGTGAACTTCAAAAACCCAAATCCAGCAATAGACAGGTGATCTAGACAAAAAATGAACAAAGAAAACATTAAACCACACTCTAGTCCAAATAGACCTAACAGACATTTACAGAGTGTTCCATCCAGCAGTTACAGAATACACTCTCTTCTCATATCACGTGGAATATTTTCATTCTCAACGACAGATCATATGTTACACCACAAAACAAGGCTTCACAAATTTTTAAAAATCAAAATCATATCAAGTATCTTTTCTGACCACAGGGAAAAAAATTCTAGACATCAATAACATTAGGAACTTTGGAAACTGTACAACCACATGGAAATTAAACAACATGCTCCTGCATAACTAATGGGCTAATCTTTAAAAACTTTTAATTGAAACATTTTATTTCATTTTTATTTAAAATTTTTTTGTGTCAAATGAAAATGGAAACACAATATATCACAAATGTATCAGATACAGCAAAAACAGTTCTAAAAAGAAAAGTTATAGCAATGAATGCCTATATCAAAATATAGAAAGATTTCAAATAAACAACATAATGTTTCATCTCAAAAAACTAGAAAAACAAGAACAAACTAACTTCAAAATTAGTAGAAGGAAAGAAAAATTAGATCAGAAATAAAATATATACTAAAAAATACAGATCAATGAAATAAATAGTTGTTTTTTTTAAAAAAAAAGTAAAATTGACAAACCCTTAGCTATACCAACTAAGGAAAAAAAGACTACTCAAATAAATGAAATAAAAGATAAAAAGGAGGAATCACAACCAATACTACAGAAATTCAGAAGATCATTAGAGACAATTATGAACAACTAAACATCAACAAATTGGAGAACCTGACACAGACAATTTCCTGGACACATACAAACTACCAAGATTGAATCACTAAGGAATAGAAAATCTGAAGAGATAAATAACAAGTAACTAAATTTAATAAGTAATAAAATGCCTCTCATCAAATAGAATCCTAGGTTTGAGTGATTTTATTGCTGAATTCTCCCAATATTTAAAGAACAAATACCAATTATTCTCAAACTATTATGCAAAACTGGATGGAGAGAATTCTTCCATATTCATTCTCCAAGGCCATCATTACCCTGATACCAAAATCAGACAAGGACACAATTTAAAAAAGAAAACTATAAGTCAATATTTCTGTTGAAAATGAATTTTAAAATCCTCACCAAAATATTATCAAACTGAATCCAACAACACATTTAAAAGATCATTTACCATGATCAAATAGGATTCAACTCAGGAATGCAAGAATGGTTTAACACATGAAAATCAAATAAACATGATATATCACATCAATGGAATGAAGGACAAAAAACAAATTATCATCCCAACAGACAAAGAAAAAGCATTCCATATAATTTAGCATTCCTTCATGACAAAAACCCTAAATACATTAGGTGTAGAAGGAATTACCTCAATACAATAAAGGCCGTATATGGAAAAACCCAGAACTAACATCTTACTGACTAGAAACATGTTAAGAGCTTTTCCTCTAAATTCTGGAACAAGACAAGGATGGTTGTTTTGACTACTTCTATTCAATATAGTACTAGAAGTCTTAGCCAGAGTAATTAGGCAACAGAAAGAAAAAGACATGCAAATGGGAAAGATGAAAGTCAAATTGTCTCTGTTTGCATGAGACATGATCTTAATTATAGGAAAGCCTATAGAATCGACCAAAAAACTATTGGAACTAATAAACAAAATCAGTAAAGTTGCTGTATACAAAATAAACACAAAAATTGGTAGTGTTTCTATATGTCAACAGAGAACTTTCTATAAAAGAAATTAAGAATATAATCCCATTTACAATAGCTACAAAACCAATAAAATACCTATGAATAAATTTAACCAACAAAGTGAAAGATCTCTACAATAAAAACTACAGAGGTAATGATTATTAACACAAAGTTGCTTCCCTCTACTATAGTTTTTCTCATGCCTATTTGTTTAGTTTCATGATAATCTCAAAACAGATGAAATGTGAGATGCTCAGTCATCATAACAAGAAGTGGAATCCTAAAGAGATTGATGGGATGATTCAAGAAGATCTCCTACTTACTATCTTGAACATTTTGTTCAAATGATTGAAAGTTGATATGATATTTCCCAGTTCTTTTCCATTTTTGCACTCCAGGCTTATCTTACATAAAGGATGAGAGTTTCATATATGTTTTTAGTTCACTACAAGTCACTTTCAGACAAAGCAGTGAAGTGGGTTTCCCTGTAGATCTGACTAAGAAGAGGATGAGAATTTTTATGGTGCATTTATTGAAGGAGCATCAGGTAGGGCTCCAGGTGATTTCACCTGCTACTTCCACTGCTATCAATCTTTGCTTCAAGATCATATTTTGGGGTTCACAAAACAAATATAAAGATTCCTACCTCATGCCAAAGTGTAAGAATGCCACCACTTCATGTATCTTTACTGAAAAAGAGAAAAAACTAAAGCTATTTGAGAACAGCACCCAAGATGGAGCTGGTGCCAGGATGTAGGGGCCAAAGAAGACTGAGGCAAGAGGAACACCAAGAGCAGTGCTGAGAAGAAAGGTGGGTGAGTTCAAGGGACAGACAATGCTCACTTACATTTTGTGTCTAGTGATAAAGTTTGGTCTTTCTATAAAATAAGTAAATATTAGAAAAAGCCTGGCTCAAAGCTCAAAAGAAAAGTTGGAAGTTTAGATAAACTGCTAATCTGCAGTTATTTAAATTCTTTCACAAAATGACAATTCATAAAGAATCCATTAGTCATAAAATTTCTGAAGGTAAAATAATCCCACATAAACAATACATTATATCAATGTTATTTTAAAAGTAGTTTCTTAGCACTGGCATTTCCTTAACCTAGCAGCTTCTTGAAAGAATGCCTAAGCTAATGTATGCATGAGCAGCAAATCTCCCAGAATTTTCCACATAGTTGCTTCACCTCTCTGCTTTCCTCCTGTTTTGAAGACTTGACCTTTCAAGTGACATACATTCTACCAGCACCCCCAAAAACAAGTAAAAAATATAAATAAAAGCAGCTAATGTCAATCCTGAAGTGATGTGAACTGTGACAGAATTTTGTTTTTTCTGTATTTACTTAAAACAACTCCAAAGCTTCAGTTCCATCATTGTTAGGTTTCAGAGGTTTAGCCCTTTTAGAGGGAAAACCGTCTGTCCTGCTGTTCCTCTGCAGGCGATGGAACACTGCAAAGCTCTATTATCTTGAAAGCACTTCTTTGGTAATTCTCAAGACCTCATTTCTCAATCCAGCAGCGTTGTTCAGCAACTGCATGTGTTCTTCAGAATTAGAATTACTGTCCACAGGGAATCTGGCTCCCCTGCCCCTTTAAAGTCATTTTCTGTGTACTTTGAGACAGAACATTTGGGACATGGCCCATGTAAAATGTCATAGAGCTGAGAAAACCTTTCACTTATCCAAAGGCATTTGCAGTTTAAAAAGAGAGAGAGAGAGAGAGAGAGAGAGAGAGAGAGAGGAGAGAGAGAGAGAGAGAGAGAGAGAGAAAGCCTTGGTTTCCTTAAACATCTTTGTGCCATCTCAAATCTGAATGTTGGGTGTTGTCACCCTATCACCCATGGAGTCCAGTGGTCTTTCTTTCCTTCTGCCATAATTTCAAAAACAGATTTTTGTATTAATCATTCACTTTTTAGTATGAATAAATTCACTCATTTATAACAGTTTGAGGAATTTTCATTTAAGTCTTGTTTCTAATTGTTTAAAACATTTTTATCTCTCATTAAATTAATTTTAGTCATCACATGAAACTTGGGTATAATTATGAATTCTCATTGCATTCCATGATCTATTCTCTTGCATGGAGGAGAAAATAAATGGGAGCCTGAGTGGACTATGGCAGTGACTGAGGGAGTCTGAAGGTGATTGACAGCCAAATAATGTGGGTCCAGGCAGCACCCATCCTTCCAGGCTTCAGCACCCTGGACCCACCTGCTCAAGCTCCACTCTTCTTGCCCACTGCTTTCTTTCCTCCGGTCTTATCCATTGGCTCTCTTGATTCTTTATCATTCTTGTCCTCAAGACTCTAATGCATCAGAGATCAAAACGCATGTATCCTGTGCTTTCTTCCCTTTTCAGGTTTGGTACTTAGAGGGCACCACATCCACGTGGTCTAAGAGTTCTGCTTCCTTAAACCCTTCAATGTACAAACTCCCCATACTGGAATTTCTCAGTGTGATAAGATGTCACAAATACATGGGAATGAGAACTGTAAAGTGAGTAGGAAGAGGAAGGTAACAACACTCATGTTCTAAAATCTGAAAATTGTAATATATATACAAACATTTCTCCTTGCTTTCTTCTTTCCCATTATCTCCAACCCTCAAAGATCCAGAGATAACCTGGGGTAGGAGGCAGCAAAGCTCAAAGCAAAGAAAGAGAAAAATACAAAGACAAATCCCTCACTCTATTCACATTGTGGCTTCCAGGCTGCAGCAATGCAGAGCTGAAGAAGTTATTTTGCTTTATATAAAATAAGACTTCACATGAATACACTAGATCGAATCTATTACAAAAATGAGACTGTTTTGAGCTTGAAAGTTACCAGAGTCCTTCTATAATCAAAGAAAATATAAAAGTTACAGTGTAATTCCAAGGTAGGGTAAAAAATAGGGCTAAAGAGGGAGAAACAGATACTGTCTTCAGCATGCACACTAAGAAGAGGGGACATCACTACACTTTAGCACAAGGTGTATTTAGTTTGTTTTCACTGAAAAGGAGCAGCGTTCGAGGTGGAATTATGCTTATGAAGTAAGATGGCAATGGCACTTAGCTTTCTGCCTTTTTTTGTTTTTTGAGATGGAGTCTTGCTCTGTCACCCAGGTTGGAGTGCAGTGGGACAATCTTGGCTCACTCTAACCTCTGCCACCTGGGTTCAAGAGATTTTCGGCTAATTTTTGTATTTTTAGTAAAAACAGGGTTGCATCATGTTGGCTAGGCTGGTCTTAAACTTCTGACCTCATGTGATTCACCCACTAGCCTCCCAGAGTACTAGGATTACAGGTGTAAGCCACCGTTCTTGGCCTATTTCTGCTCTTTAGCTCTTAGCCACTGGCTTTGCATAGGGCAAATATAATCCAAAAAACTAATGTATTGGTTTTGATAAATACCAAGGAGGCAAAAAAGTGAAATACCAGTTATTTACATTAAAGTGCAATGAAAGAGAAGAATACAAAAAACAAACAAGCAAAAAAAACCCTACTGTATTAGCAGTCTTTATTGTAAAATCCTGATCTCCACTGTGGACACTGAAGCAGCAAAGTCTTAGCAAAGCTGCTCTAGGTTTTGATGAGAAGGAAAGAGTTTTAATTTATTTGGGAATTTACACCTCTTTAATCAATTACAGAAAAGGAGAATATCTGTAGAATTATTTATGAGAATGGCCACAAAAAGGAAGCTGTGAGAATAAAGTAGTATCCCAAAGCTGTGAGGCAGCTATGGGGTGCTACTTTCTTTCTTTCTCTGAATTAATGAATTATTAAGAATTTATTTCATAAAATAAAATTACCAGAGTTCAGACTTTCTGCTTTGGGTGATTTTAAAAACATGTCACCAAGTTCTTTGATATTGCTTTCATCAAGAAGTAGAGTCAAAATCTTAGAAGTCTTACCTGGTCTTCTATCACATTGCAGCTGATTTGGCACTCAAATCACAAAATGCAGTCCTTCCCGCTATTTCCTCCTCTTTCCAAAGGCAGAGGAGGTTCACTCCGTAGGCACTACCTCCCCAAGCCGCAGGGAGTACTGCCAGACTACTGCCAGTGTTCCCATAAAGCCCAAGTCTGCTTGTTGTAAGTGCTGCCTGGCCTCTCTTCAGGGCAGTGGGCTCCCCTCTGGTCCTGGGCAGGTCCAAAAATGCCATCCAAGAGTTAAGTCATGGAATAGGGGACCCCAAGAACCTGCTTTGTGCCCCATCTCCCTGTGGCTGTGCTGGTACCTAAGGTGCAAGATAGAGTCCCCTTTACTTTCCCCTCTGCTTTTCTCAAATAGGAGTTTTTCCTGAAACCACAAAAGCTGGTAATATGCTGAGTCTCACCTGAAGCAAGCAAGTCTGAGGATCACCTGAGACCTTCAATATAGTACCTGGGTCTTGCTGCTGATTATTCAGGGTCCAAAGGCTCTTCAGTTAGTAGATGATAAATACTACCAGGACTGGGTCCTTTCCTTCAAGGTATCTGGTTCTCTTCTGGCATAGGGTGTGCCTAGAAATGTCATTTGGGAGCTAGTTCCTGGTACAGGGGCCTAACAATTATGGCTCGTGCCTTATCATGTTGTGGCTGAGCTGCTATCCTAGATATAAGACAAAGTCCTTCCCACTCTCCCCTCTGCTGTCTTCAACTGGAAGGAAGGGGTCTCTCTTAGAACCTTGAGCTGTGCAGCCTTGGTCATAACCAAGGTGATGCCAGCACCCCTTTGTCTGCCCCAGCTGGTGTCTCAGTATATTTCATGCCCACTCAGTTCACTGTCTTTGGGCCTAGTTCAGCATTAGAACTTGCCCAAGAGTTGCAGTCCTTATGAACTAGATTGCCTTTCAAGACTGCCTTGGAGACAGAGTGCTGTAATTCTCAGTGATGAGTTTTGCAGGCACTCAAGTTGAGAATGCTGAGATCCATTCCCTTTCGGCTCAGGCTACTTTGAATGCTCCCCCCATGGGCTAAAATCAACCGAGTTTGGTTCAGATTTCCTTCTGTCTCTAACAGGACAGCACTGAGTTCAATACCTCATAATTGCTCTGTTCTTACCTCAGCACCCAGAGATGCTCTCTGCATCAATTTGCCACTGCCAGAGGTGACATAGGGGTGGCATTGGTGATTTAGGATTGCTTTTTCTGTCTCTTCAGTGCTTCTGTCTGCTATATAAAGTGAAAACCAAGTACTGTGAGTGCTCATCTGATTGCTGGTATTAAGGTGTTTTTTCTCTAAAGATACTTGTTCACTTGGTGTTCTTGCAAGGGTGTGTGGAAACAAGTGGTGGAGCTTTCTATTCTGCCACCTTGATCCTACTAGTGAATTTTATGTTAGTTGTTAGTGTTCTATAATTTCTGCTTGAAGAACTCCTGTTAGCATTACTTATGAGGTGGGTCTAGTGATAGTGAACTGTCTCAGCTATTGCACATATGGAAACACTTTTATTTCTCCTTTATTCTTGAAGGGCATTTTGTTAGATATAGTATTTTTGGTGGATGATATATTCCTTATAGCACTTTGAATATATCATCCCATTGTCTCTGGGCTCAAGGTTTCTGGTGAGAAATCTGCTGATTGTCTAATAGTCATTTGTCCGTATGTGCCATGTCACTTTTCTATTGCTGCTTTCAAATTCTGTCCAACTCTCGACAATTTAATATAATGTGTCTTGCTAAAGGGCTCTTTGTGTTGAACCGTTTGTGGACTTTTTAGTTTCATGGTTTGGGATGTCCATATCTCTCCCAAAATTGGAAAGTTTTCAGACATTGTTTCTTTAAATAAGCTTTCTTACCCTTTCTCTCTCTTATTCCTCTGAGATTTCCATAAAGCATATATCAGCTTGCATAGTGGTGCCCCATAAATCTCATAGAATTCTTCACTATTTTCTTTTTTCTGCTCTAACTAGATACAGTTTGAGTATCTCTTATCTGAAATTCTTAAGAACAGACTGTTTTGAATTTTGTATTTCTTGGATTTTGGAATATTTGTATTATACTAATGGGTTCAGCTCCCTTAACCCCAAAATGCTAAATCCTAAATGATACAATGAGTGTTTCCTTTCAGCATCACATTGGCACTCAAAAAATTGCAGATTTTGAACCATTTCAAATTTAGGATTTTCAGATTAGGAATACTCAATACTCAACCTGTAATTTCAAATAACTTGTCTTCAAGATTACAGATTCTTTCTTTTGCTTAAGTCTGCTTTTGACTTTTGTATTTTCCATTTCATTCATTGTATTTTTCAGCTCTAGAATTTCTGTTTGGTTCTTTTTTGCCATTTCTATTTTAAAAGAAAATTATTTTAAATTACTTTTCAGACAATTTAAAAATATCTGTTTCTTTGAGGGCAGTTACTTTAAAATTATGTTACTTTAGTGGTGTTGTTTTCTTCCATTTTCATGTTTCTTGTGACTTTGTGTTAATGTTTATACATTTGATAGAGCAGTCATCTCTTCCAGACTTTAAAGACTGGTTTTAGTGGGTAAAGACTTCCACCTGCAGGTGGGTGCAATGGCATTGACTGGATAGCTCTAGTTCTAAAAAGATATAGCAGTGTAGTCTCTGTGTAGCTTCATCAGCTGAGGCCAGCATTAACGAAGACTGCAGAAGCATTAACAGCTAAAGTTTCAGGTGTTTGTGGTGGTGGCATTGGCAATGTGGACCATTGGGGTCCTCAGTAGCAAGGACTTTAGGCATCATCTTGCTCTCCTTTTCCCTAGAGCAAGGAGACCTAACCAAAAGGATCCCTTTTGGTGTCTAGTGCAATGTGGTGTTCAGAGCCACTGCAAAGCTAGCTTCCTGGGCTCAGGGGCTTGTGAACTGCCATGGCACCTGGATTCTTGAGAGCAAATTGATGTAACAAGGCACTGGCATGCACTGATCACCCACGTTGCCAGGGTCTAGGACTTTGGAGCTCATCTCAGTGGCATGGGCCTGGGGATATATGAGGTAATGGTGACTTGGACCCTGAGAGACAGGCACAGAAGCAGCACAGCCCAGGGCGAAGGAATCCTCTGGCCACTCAAGTCCTGGGGGGTGGGGAACAGCAGCAACTCTAGTTCCATGGATGTCAGGGCACAGACATGATTCTGGCCCCAAGGGGCAGGGAGCAGTGCAGTAGCACAGGCACCTGGGTGACACATTACTGTGTTGGCCCAGGCATTAGAACAGCAGTAAGACACTGGGGATTTGTGGACATAGCAGTGACTTAGGCTTCAGGGTTGGTATGGCTCCACAGAAGCTCTGCCCCAAGGGCCAGGACACAGTCGCAGCAAGGCCCACGGAATTATGGGGCACAGCTGCAGCTCAGGCTCTAAGAGCAAGATGCAGCACAATGGTGACTCCAGTCCCTGTGAAGGCAGAGTACTGCCACAGCTAGGGATACAAAGGATGGAGTTCAGTGGTGGTAAGGCCCTGCTATGTCAGGATGCAGTAGAAACTCAGGCTCTGAGGGGCATGGCACAGCAGCAACATGACCCCAGGATGGACATGACACTGTGGGAGCTCAGCCACAGAGGGTGGGGCACAATGGTGACTCAGGCTCCAGGCAGCCAGGACACAGCACAGCAGTAACTGCAGTCCCTGCGAAGATGGGGTACTATTGAAGCTCAGGTCCTGAGAACAGTGCACAGCACAGTAATGGCACCAGTCCCTGGGGTGGTAGGGTGCCAGAGAACCTCAGGTTCTAGGAGGTTGAGCACAGCACAGACGCAACTCTGGACCCTGGAAAGACAGAACACCATGGCAGCTCAGGTTTTAAGTCATGGCATAGCACAGCAGTGATTCTAATTCCTTGGAGGCAGGTGGTAAACACTCAAGCTCCTGGATGTTGGGCTCAGTGCAGTGGCAACTCCAGTCCCTAATAATGCAAGGTGCCTCAGCAACCCACACCCAGGGGAGCCAGGACACTGTGGCAGTAGGATGCTGAAAAGGTAGGGCACAATGGAGATCCAGGCCTACGGCAGCAGCCTAGGCCCGGAGATACTGGAGCACTGGGCAACCCAGGCTCCAGGTGGTGGGATGTAGGGACAGTAAGACCTTAGGCGTGTAGAGAAACAATGGCTATTCAGGACCTAACAGTAGGGTACAGCACAGCAGCAACATTCTAAAATGTCATGAAACCACAGTAACTCAGCTCATGAGGCAGAAGGCACAGCCTTGGCTCCTTCTTAGCTCTTTATGTTGGGCTCAGGACTGGTAAAGACTGCAGGGGTCTCCATTGGTGAGCATTGCTTATGTCACTAGTGGTAGTAATGAGGGCCACTGGCATCTTCCTCCTCATCCTTTCCAAGCAGGTGGAAATATCTCTTGTCTCTGAGATAATTCAGACTTGATAGTGGGGTGGACCAAAGTGTTTCCCACCCTATTCTATGCAGCCATGCTAGGTTTCTCTGCTCCACGGGGTTTGTGCTACTCCTTTGCTATATTCCAGAGCTCTCCCTTTGCTATTTTGTTATGTAGTTGTTTATTCGTTGTTTTGTAAAAGAAATGAGAATTTGAACCTCCTAGTTTGATATCTTGCAGATATCATGTCCTTTTTCTTCTTTTTAAATAAACCCAATTGATAAATGTTTTTTAAACCTTTTCTTGAGGTATAAACTACATACAGTCTATTAAATTTTAGAAATTGTAGCATACAATTTTTATATGTCTGTATACCTGTGTAACAACCATACTGATCAAGATATAGAACATTTATGAACTCAGCAAGTTTCCTTGTGTCCCTTCTCTGTTAATACATTCTGCAAAAGTAACTAGTATTCTCATCTCTAGCATAATAGATTAGTTTTGCCTGTGTATAAGTCCATTTTGTGTTGTTATAACAGAATGCCTAAAACTAGATAATTTATAAGAACAGATATTTATTTCTAACAATTCTTGGGGCTGGAGAGTTCAAGATCAAGTTGCTGGCAGATTTTGTTTTTGATGAGGGCTGATCCCTGTTTCCAAGATGGCAACTTGCTGCATCCTCCAGAGGGGGAGAGCACTGTGTAATCACGAGGCCAAACGCAAAGGGGAAAGGACAAACTTCCTCATTCATAACAACATTATTCCTTTCATAAGGGCAGAGCCTTTGGGACATTTCCCAAAAGACACCACCTCTCAATAGTTACATTGAGTTTAAGTTTCTGAGACATGAATTTTAGGAGACACATTTAAATGAAGGCAATCTGCTGGTAAATGTAATATGAATAGAAACATACAATATTTACTTATGTGTCTGGCTTCTTTTGCTCCTCAGTTGGCTGAGATTCACCCACAGTGTGAGTAGAAGTGGTTCATCCTTTACCAGCATTCATTCTCATGTTGGTGGCCATTTGGGATATTTTTAATAATTGAATGTTGAAATCATAAACTAAGATACAATATATATTACTGAATGTATGGATTTGCTTACTGATAGAGTAGGCATTTGTTTATTTAGAATTAAAAGATACTACAAAAAGTTTAATAAAGTAGCTATTTCAATTTATGCTCCCACCAGCAGTACATGAGTGTTCCAGTTGCTCCTTATCAAAGTCAACACTATAAATATCAGCTCTTTTAATTTTGGCCTCTCTGTTAGAAAACTATTGGTATTCATTGTGGTTTTACTACGTGTATTTCATTAATGATGTTGAGCACATTTGCATGTGTTTACTTGTTACTCTTTTAAAGTTTCTGTGTTTGTCTTCTATGCAAATTTATTTCCTACTTCAATAACAAGAAGACATTTTCTTCCAAAATATTTTGTTTTGCTTGGAATGTATGTTTGCATATGGTGAAAAGTGTCTAGTTGCATATATTTCCATATCCCACTTGTCTCAGCACCATTTATTGAATAGTCTTTGCTTGATCCATTGACTTGGTAATGCATTCTATGTTTTAATTCAAATAGCTTTATGGTAATATTTGTATTTAAAATAATGTCAGAGGTAGGGAAAAAATAATGACAACAACAACTTCAGGAAACATTAGAGCACACACAACAGACCTGCATGTATCTGAGAACTTGGTTATATGAGTTTTGATTATCTCCTTTATTGTTTTTCTATTTAATTAATCATCTGGTCTTTATTATACCTTTCTCTCTGCCTTCTATTTCTACTCTTTCTCTAACATTTAGTTAAGTGTTTTAATCATTACTTTTCACTCTGACTTCTTTTCAAACGAATTTAGAGCTATACATTTCCTTTAAGTATAATACTAGTATCTGGCAAATTTGGTTATTTATCAGGTTCATTGCTAGCTAGTATTAATTATTTTTTAATTTACATTTTGATTTCTATTGGCCCATGTATCAGCCAGGGTTCTCTGGAGGGATAGAACACACACACACACACATATACACACATATATATTCTATTAGTTTATATATAATTATATGTACATATTCCATTTTAATATATATATATAGGGATATATATATTCCATTAGTTTATATATAATTATATATATATTCCATTCATATATAGAGAGAGAGAGTTTAAGTATTAACTCACAAGATCACAAGGTCCCACAATAGGCTGTCTGCAGGCTGGGGAGCCAGTCCGTGTTTCAGAACTAAAGAACTTGGAGTCTGATGTTTGAGGACAGGAGGCATAAAGCACAGGAGAAAGACATAGGCTAGGAGGCTAAGTCAGTCTCTCCTTTCATATTTTTCTGCCTGCCTATATTCTAGCTGCACAGGCAGCTGATTAGATTGTGCCCACCTAAATTAAGGGTGGGTCTGCCTTTCCCAGCCCACTGACTCAAATGTTAATCTCCACTGGCAACACCCTCACATATACACCTAGGACAATACTTTGTAGTCTTCAATCCAATCAAGTTGACATTCACTATTAACCATCACAGCTCATGAATTATCTAGAAATGTATTTTGTTAATTTTCTAATGTGTAAGGCATTTGATTATATTTTTGTATTGTAGAGATTTATTTTTATTTCATTGATGGTCAGACAATGTTTTCTGCATAATATTGGCTTATTTGTAATTTTGAGACTTTATTCAGGCTGAAAAAAATTTTGGTAGTTTCCATGTGTGCTTGAAATGTACATGTATTTATGGGTGTGGTAGCTCACTCCTGTTATCCCAGCACTTTGGGAGGCTGAGGTGGGTGGGTCACTTGAGACCAGGAGTTTGAGACTAGCCTGGACAACATGGCAAAACTGCATCTCTACTAAAAATACAAAAATAGCTACATGTGATACTGCGCACCTGTAATCCCAGGTACTCAGGAGGCTGAGATATGAGAATTGCTTGAACCCAGCAAGTTGCAGTGAACCAAGATAGTGCCACTGCTACACTCCAGCTTGGACAACAGAACAAGACTCTGTCTCGGAAAAAAAAAGGAAAGAAAAGAAGCATTCTAATTATTCAGTACAGGGGTATACCAAAGTCCATTGGGTTAAAAGGATTAATTAAAATGCTCAAATCTTCTGTAGTTCTACAGATTACTGGTTTAACCTGTTAGTAACTGAAGAGGACTAATATTTCTTATTGTATTTGAAACAAAAATGGATATAAATATATGTGCATTGAGGCTATATTCTTACTGTAAACAAATTCAGGATTATTATATCCTTCTGGCAAACTTCTTTTACCATATCAGTTGCTCTTAGAAACAAGTAAAACTTGGCCAGGCGCGGTTGCTCACGACTATAATCCCAGCACTTTGGGAGGCCGAGGCAGGCAGATCACCTGAGGTCGGGAGTTCAAGACCAGCCTGCCAACACAGAGAAACTTCGTCTCTACTAAAAATACAAAATTAGCCAGGAGTGGTGGTGCATGCCTGTAATCCCAGCTACTCAAGAGGCTGAGTCAAGAGAATCACTTGAGCCCCGGAGGTGGAGGTTGCAGTGAGCTGAGATTGAGCCATTGCTCTACAGCCTGGGCAATAAGAGTGAAACTCCATCTCAAAAAAAAAAGAAACAAGTGAAACTTTTATTTCCAGTAAATTCTATTTGGTTTTTAAAAGCATTATTTCCTTCCTATTGTTTCAATTTCTTTGTTTGTATCTTAAAACAGAACCTTATTCTACAGCCTTTTCAGATTGTTCTATTTTATAAAATTCTAGAAGTTCTACTCCCCTGTTTTTATCTCCTCTTGTGTTTTGAACTATTTTGAGGGAAGATTCCCACGTGACCTGAATTATGTACTCTAATGTCAGCATAGTTTCATAGTTTGCAAAACCTTCTGCAAGAGATTCAAGAGTATCCCCCACCTGGGACCAATTTTTATGTTAATTCTTCAGCTTGGAGTGTCAGTGTCACCACAAAAATGTAAATTTGGCTCCCTAATTTGTAAGCTGTAGAACCAGGGATTTTGATTTCTCAGAAAAGACCACTGTTGTTGTGTTTCATTTTTATTTTCAATCAGGTCCCAGATAGAAAAAGCTCCCTTGTTGCTCTGTACTAGCAGATGTTTTCATCTTTTCTCTCCTTAGTATATAATTTTTCTCAATGGGATAGGTCTTCAAGAATTTTGGCTTGTGTATTGATCTTTGATCCAAAGGCCAGTCAAATCCTAGACCTCATATTCAGCCCTTGAAAGTCTTAAAATAGAACTCTTTAATTATAAGGACTGAGACTCTCATAAACTGCATGGTGAGTTTATGGACTTAGCATTCTGCGGATCAGTGCCACTTCATTTTTGGCACATAACATATTTCTTTCTTCTTTTGAACTCATCTGTGCAGACAACTTATTACATTTTTGTTTGCAGGAGGATAATCTTTTTTTTTTTTCAACTTAACAGCAATTTATTCTGTCACAGTTCTGGAGGCTGGAAGTCTAAAATCACGATGTCAACAAGATTGTTTCCTACTGAGAGCTGTGAGGGAAGGATCCATTTCTGGCCTTTCTTCCTGGTAGGAGATGGCTCTTCTTTCTGCGTCTTCACATCATCTTCCCTATGCATGCCTGTGTCCAAAGATCACCCTTTATGAAGGCAGCAGTCATACTGGATTAGTGTAAACCCTGATGAAAACATTCCTAACTAATTGTATCTGCAATTATTCTATCTTCAAATAAAGTCACACCCTAAGGTAGTAGGGAGTAGGACTTCAACCTATGAAATTTGAGGGACACAAATCCATCACAGGACATGTAGAGGCAACAGGGGGCATTGGAAAGATGGGATAATCATTTTTGTTTGTTCATTTATTTATTTAGTTTTTCTTTTGGAATTCTGCTGGGAGTATCCCATTTAACTCTTGTATATGGAAATTTAAGAGGTAAACCAATTAATTCCCTTTTTGTACACTGGAACACAAACTAGTATAACTTTGAGGAGGGAGTTCACACAGAGGCACAGAGCAAGAACCTTGAAAACTCATTTGTAAAATATTTTATAGACAATACAAAAGTGTTCAAAATGTATTTTGCTCCAATACTGCCTTCACATGCAAAGTGGTACAAAAGTTGGATTCTTTATTTTCATGCATCTACATACATACTAATTTATGCACACTGACCAGAAGATTAACACATTATTGGCTTAGTGCTCCTGATTATTTAATTGCTTTCAAGTATATAATGCAATGTGTGGGCCGGGTGTGATGGCTCATACCTGTAATCCCAACACTTTGGGAGGCCAAGGCAAGCAGTTCACCGAGGTAAGGGGTTCAAGGCCAACCTGGACAACATGGCAAAACCCTGTCTCCATTAAAGATACGAAAACTAGCTGAGCATGGTGGCACATGCCTGAAGTTCCAGCTACTTGGGAAGCTGAGGTATGAGAATCACTTGAACCTGGGAGGCAGAGGTCACAGTGAGCTGACATTGTGCCACTGTACTCCAGCCTGGGCAAAAGAGTGAGACCCTGTCTCAAAAAAAAAAAAAAAAAAGTGTGTTCTGTGATTTTCTAGAACATGCCTTTCATAAAATAAAATGAAAACAGTACAGGAAATATGACTTTCAAAAAGGGATAGGAGGCTGGGCACGGTGGCTCACACCCATAATCTCAGTACTTTGGGAGGCTGAGGTGGGCGGATCATGAGGTCAAGAGATCAAGACCATCCTGGCCAACATGGTGAAACTCCGTCTCTACTAAAAAAAAATACAAAAATTAGCTGGGCGTGGTGGCATGCACCTGTAGTCCCAGCTACTTCGGAGGCTGAGGCAGGAGAATTGCTTGAACCTGGGAGGTAGACATTGCGGTGAGCCGAGATTGCGCCATTGTACTCCAGCCTGGCGCCTGGTGACAGAGCAAGACTGTCTCAAAAAAAAAGGAATAGAAACCAGTATCATTTTATTATGATTTGATTTACAATATTTCAAAACATTCACATGATTATATTTTCTTGCAATATATGATTAGAAAGGGGGTGAAATCAGAAAAATAAAAGAGGAGATAACAATTTTTTCTTGGAAGGTTGACTTTCTGTCTTACTTCCAGGTGGATAAAATGATCTATAACCCAAATGGGATCTCAGACTCACTTCTGGATTTTTTATTCTTTGCTACTTAAATCTTTTCAAATATGCTCTAACAACTTAAGTCACTGTTTAAATTTACATGTCTTAGCCCATACTGCATTCTGCACAATAGAATTTTTTCAAAATTATTAAATAGTATGTTTCATGAAATGCTCTGATAGTCACCTGAGTAATGTGACATGAGTCTTGACTCCTTTTTCTAGAACTAAATTCCTTTTCCTAGATAGTACATTTCACTGACCCAAAGGCAAACTTTGACCTAGTCCTCTTGCAGTACATGTCTGACAAGTGATTGAATAAAGTTAATTCAATGGAGGTTGAATTACATACAACATATGGAGGTTGTATGAAGCCAGGAACACAAGAAAGCTAACTGGCCTGTAAAGCCCATCTCCCTGACCTCATTAACATTATACTCAACCTCAAAATATTCTCAGCTGTGTCTACCTGCACAACTTACACTACACTAAGGAAATGTGTGTAAATTTGATCATTCTCAGCAGACCAGGGACAGCAGGAAGGCTCAAAATTATATCTACACTAAACAAATGTTTTTTACACTAATAAGACATCCAGACAGCTGCAAAGTCACATGTCACCACAGGTGAGGGTAATACCTAGATGATGAGGCATTGCAATAGTTAGTAGTTTGGACTGACTTAGAAGAATCATTTAACCAACATCAGCATGATCCTACATGTATTTTCAGATTGTGTTTCAAACTCTTTTCTGATATATTTTCAAGACCAGATGATATTTCAAAAAAGTTGTCTCTAGATGTAAAAATTAGGGGTATTTACAAAAAGAATTTATCATTACTGCCTAATGCTTTTATAATAAAATTTACCTAAAACACACATTCTACAAATGTTATTTTCTCAGTGCTACTCTAAGTTTAATGAGCAATATGACCAATCCTACCTCATAAAGTCATTTAGTTTATGCAGTAAGCAAAATGATTAGAACCAACTAAAATGTCCAACTATTTCAAATCTAATGATGATCGTCTTACTCAATGTTTCTCCAAGGTTTCCATAGCACACTCCACAAGACCTAAATAAGTCCATGCACCTATTCATACAAGGAGGCACGTATACATACAAAGCAAGTGCTAAAGGGAAAAGAAAAGTTATATTTCTAGAAGATCTCCTATTCTACACACTTATACACACACACATGCAAATAATTCCTCTCTCCCCAAAAACAAACCTGGAAGGGGTAATGGCAGATCTAATAAGAAAGTAATGAGAAAAAGAAGAGCAAAGAAGAAGAAGAAAACTGTTGGGAAATTTTAGAGTTATTTCACTCCACTAAGAATTAGTACATCTCATCAAAAAGCTAATCTACCATGATCAGGTAGGCTTTATTCCTGGGATTCAAGGTTGTTTCAACATACACAAGGCAAGAAATGTAATTCATTACATCAACAGAATTAAAAATAAATCCTATATGATCATCTCGATAGATGCAGAAAAAGCTTTCCATAAAATTCAACATCTCTTCATGTTAAAAACTCTTAACAAACTCTGTATTGAAGGACCATATCTCAAAATAATAAGGATCATCTATGACAAACCCACAGCCAGCATCCTATGGAACAGGCAAAAGCTGGAAGCATTTCCCTTGAGAACCAGAACAAGATAAGGATGCCCACTCTCACCACTCCTATTCAACATAGCACTGGAAGTCCCAGTCAGAGAAATCAGAAAAGAAAAGAAATAAAAGGCATTCTAGTAGAAAGAGAGAAAGTAAAACTATCTTAGCAAACAACATGATTCTATACCTAGAAAACCCTGCAGTCTCTGCCCAGAGGCTCCTAGATCTGATAAACAACTTTAGCAAAGTTTCAGTATACAAAATCCATGTACAAAAATCAGTAGCATTTCTATATAACAATAATGCTTAAGCTGAGAATGAAATCAAGAATACAATTCCATTCATGACAGCAACAAAAAGAATAAAATACCTAGGAATACAGCTAATTAGACAAGTGAGAAAAAATCTCTGTGATAAGAATCGCAAAGCACTGCTAAAAGAAATCAGAGAAGACCACAGACGAATGGAAAAACATTCCATTTTTCATGGATAGGAAGAATTGATATTGTTAAAATGGCCATACTACCCAAAGATATTTGCAGATTCAATGCTATTCTTATCAAATTACCAACAGCATTTTTCACATAATTCGACAAAGCTATTCTAAAATTCATATGGACCCCAAAAAAGAGCCCAAATAGCCAAAGCAATCCTAAGTAAAAAGAACAAAACCAGAGGCATCACACTACCACACTTCAAACTATATTACAACACTATAGTAACCAAAACAGCATGGTACTAGTACAAAAGCAGACACATAGACCACTGGAATAGAGTAGACAAACAAAAGATAAAGTCATACACCTACAACCAACTGGTCTTTGACAAAGCTGACAATAACAATCAATGGGGAAATGATTCCCTATTCAATAAATGGTACTGAGATAGCTGGTTAACCATAAGCAGAAGATTGAAACTAGACCCCTTCCTTTTACCATATACAAAAGTCAACTCAAGATAGATCAAAGAACAAATCTAAAACTATAAAAATTCTACTAGAAAATCCTAGGAAATACCATTCTGGATATTGCACTCATTAGAGATTTCATAACAAAGACTTCAAAAGCAGTGGTAATGAAAACAAAAATTGAACAAGTGGGACTTTATTAAACTAAAGAGATCCTACATAGCAAAAGAAACTATCAACAGAGTAAACAGACAACTTATAGAATGGGAGCAACTATTTCCAAACTATTGAGAAAGGTCTAATATTCAGAGTCTATAAGGAACTTAAACAAATCAACCAGCAAAGAAACCAAATGACTCCATAGAAAAATGTGCAAAGGTCATGAACAGACACTTGCTAAAAGAAGACATACACAGAGCCAACAAGTATACAAAAAAAATGCTTAATACAACTAATTATTAGAGAAATGCAATTCAAAATCACAGTGAGATACCATCTCACACCAGTCAGAATGGCTATTATTAAATGATCAAAGATGAACAGATGCTGGAAAGTTACAGAGAAAAGGGAAGACATATACACTGCTGGTAGTAATGAAAATTAGTTCAATCACTCTGGAAAGCAGTTTGGAGATTTCTCAAAAAACTTAAAACAGAACTACCATTCAATTCAGCAATCCCATTATTGGGATATACTCAAAGGAATATAAACTGTTATACCACAAAGACACATGCACATGAATGTTCATTGCAGCACTATTCACAATAGGAAAGATTGGAATCAACCTATATGCCCATTAATGGTGGACTGATTAAAGAAAACATGGTATATATACACTGTGGAATACTAGGTAGCCATAAAAGAGAACAAAATATTATCCTTTGAAGCAACATAAATGGAGCTGAAGACTACTATCCTCCGCAAATTAATCCAGAAATAAAAAACTAAATTCTGCATGTCCTCACTTATAAGTGGGAGCTAAAATTGAGTACACATAGACACAAATAAGAGAACAATAAAAAGTAGGGCCTACTTGCAAGTGGAAGGCAGGAAGTGAGTGAGTATTAAAAAACTACCAATCAGGTACTATGCTTATTACCTTGGTGACAAAATAAGCTGTATAGCAAATCCCTGCAATACACAATTTACTCAGGAAACAAATCTCCACATGTACCTCTAGAACCCAAAATAAATGCAGAAAGAAAAAAAAATGAAGGAATTAGTGTCTCCTGATTCCCATAAATAAATGCATAATTAAAACTATAGGTATGCAACTACACATATGTATATATCTAAAAAAAACAGATTCATACAATATGTTTGCTTTTTATTTTAACTTAATTTTAATGTCATTATAATTTTTCAATGATCACTTTTCAATGTCAAGAAATACTCTTCTGGAAGTCCTAACTAGAGCAATCAGACAAGAGAAAGAAATAAAGTGTATACACATTGGAAAGGAAAAAGTAAAATTATTCTTTTCTGCAGATGATATAATCTTATATTTGGAAAAACCTAAAGACTCTACCAAAAACTATTAGAACTAATAAATTCAGTAAAGTTGCCGGATACAAAATAAATGTACAAAAAATCAGTAGTTTTCTATATGCCAACAACCAACAATTTGAAAAAAAAAGACATTAATTCCATTTACAATAGCTACTAATAAAGTAAAATACCTAGAAATTAATCAATAAGTAAAAAATCCCTACAATAAAAACTATTACAAAAACTGATACAAAAAATTGAAGAGGACACCAGAAGATGAAAAGATGTTCCAAGTTCTGGATTGAAAGAATCAAAGTTATTAAAATGTCCTTACCCAAAATGATCCACAGACTCAATGCAATCCTGATTAAAATATCAATGACATTCTTTTCAGAAATAGAAAAAAAATCCTAAAATTTATATGGAATCACAAAGACCCAGAATAGCCAAAGCTATCTATCCTAAGCAAAAAGCACAAATCTGGAGAAATTACATTAGCTGAGTTCAAATCATATTACAGAACTACAGCTGAAAAAACAGAAAGGATGGGCATAAAAACCACATAGACCAATGGAACAGAATAGAGAACCCAGAAATAAACCCATATATCTACAGAGAACTGATTTTCCAAAAAAATGCCAAGAACGTACCTTGGGGAAGGACAGTCTCTTCAATAAATGGTGACAGGAAAACTGGATATCCATAAGTAGAAGAGTGAAACTAGATCCCTATCTCCAGCCATGTACAAAAATCAAGTCAAAATGGATAAAGACTTAACTCAAATA